AAACAGGGAAATATTGCATATAAAAATTAATTAATTAATTATATGCTAACTAAATAATATGTTACTATTTTTACCTAGTGTGTTACCAACCTGATGACCAGTGTAAAATGTTCCCCTTGACCTGACCTAACCTTACCTATCCTTACAATGGTCTAAAGTCTATTGGTCATTAAGTTATTTAAGTTTAGGTCCATTTGCCAGTTCCCATGGCAAACACCTCCACACGTTTTCACACACTGCTCTCTACTACCAAATTGGTTAGCATTGCCACCGCATCCGCCGTAGTTAAAAGACCCGCATTTGTGGGAAGTTGGGTCACAATAGTATACGTTACTGGCGGCCATACAAGGTCCAGGAGCCACAGGTTGGTAACACACTAGGTAAAAATAGTAACATATTATTTAGTTAGCATATAATTAATTAATTAATTTTTATATGCAATATTTCCCTGTTTTAGAAAATTATTATACTATTTTATATAATGTATACTTACATGAGAGTATGTTAGGATTACCAGGGTTAGCAGCCCATGAATCAGAGGGTATGTTACGATTACCAGGGTTAGCAGCCCCTGAATTATAGTCACAATGTGCGAGAGTTGCACAATGATTTTTTAAAATTCAAAGATTCTATTTAAAGATATTTTCCAATTAATTTATTCATAAAATTCGAAATAAATAATAACTTTTTAAATTAATTTCATGGTGCGCTGCTGAAACGCAAATTTTAAATATGCTAGCTAACTACATAATTTTATTATTTTAAATTTCTATTCAATGTATTTATAATTGTCAAATATGGTCCCCACGTTTAGTAATTCATAATTTCTTAATAAGTCTGAAGTTGTAAATGATATTAATTGTAACATAATTTTAAATTATTTAGTAAACTTCAATGGCAGATTGTTTTTGGTAAATAAAACTGTAAACTAATAATGTATATTTATATAATAACTAATAACAAGTTTTAATTATTACTTACGGCATGTTTTATTTACTCATTTATTCAAATTTTATATTCAATAACATTAATTGTGTTAAAATTATGACAATTAAATTCATTATAATTTTTTATACATTTTTCATTTCATTTTTGGGATCTTTGTGTTAATTTTTATTTTTTTAAATAAAATTAATTATTAATTAATAACAATGAACCGTCTCAAATTATATTTCTAAATAGACATTTATAAATTGTTATTTATTTTATTTATCACTGTAATTTATTTGCATTAGAAATAATACTAGGATATTAATGATAAAATTGAAAACATTTGAATAAAGTTAAAATAGTTTGCTTGAATAGATTGTTTAATTGTTTTGTTAATATTTTATTTTTAATTAATGTAACAAATTTATAACAATAACATATTTGATAAATGTGATTTATTATTTGTCCATTCTGTAACGTGCTATATGTTTATACATTTATAATTAATTATGATAGAAATGTTTATAAAATTATTTATGGCATAAATAATATAAATTAAATATAAAAATTTTCGTATAACTTGTTAAAAATGTTTACTAACCTAGTAACCCAGTATATTATAGTAACCTATACAACATAAGTTATGTTATTAAATACCCAGTAACATAAAATGTTAAGAGTTGACAATTATAATTTATAATTTGATTAAAAAAATAAAAGACTGTAAGGCATATTGAGTTAAATAATAATATTATCAGGCAATATGAAACATTAAAATTATTGGTACGATGTTTTTATAAAAACTGTAAACTAATTTACTAAAATAATTTAGTTTAACAGGCAAACTTAAAATGCTATTCACGGGACTCCTTTTTTTAATGAAATTGTTCTTGATGAATATAATTTTAAACATTACTGGTATATGAAAAAGATATTGTGCAAACAGTAAACTAAATTAATGAAAATAATTTATAATTTAAAAGGATAATTATTTTATAAAAAATAATTTCTGGTCTGACCGCCAAAATGGATAAATTTTAAAATGTTAATTACAACACTTAGTCAAATTTAAAACTATACACCCAAGCAAATTTTTTAAAAAATTATTTAAAAATCTTATTCAATTTATTTATGATTTACAAACACCGCCACAGGATTGCACGCATAGGGCTGTCGTATTGAAATTGTTGGCATTTCCATCGCACCCGCCGTATGTGAATGGCTCGCATTTGTGGGCCTTTGGGTTGCAATAGTACCGGTCTATGGCTGCCCTACAGAGGCCCACATCGTATTTTGAGTAACAATCTAGGTTAATTTTATAAAATTATATTATCAAACTTATTATTCAAATTGACTGTGACATAATTTCTACACAATCTATTAAACACTTACATGTTGGTATGTTTGGACCACCAGGGTTAATGGATCCCGAAACACCAGGTATAAAATTAATGGATAGTGTCACGCAAATTATTAGCGACGATAGTGCACTTATTTTAGACATTTTGAATAAATGAAAAAAATTGACTTTGTTAAAAATATTTTGTGTGTGTTTATATAGTTTTTAGTGCGCATACAATGTTAGGTATTTTATAACAATAACAATTTTGATAAATGTCATTTGTCTGGTAATAATAAAATTAATGTGTTTTCATACACTGGATAATTTATTATTATGAAAAGCTCCTATATAAATGTAATTTGATTAATTTTAAAAGCAAGAAAAACATAAATTATTTACTTTAAATAGCTTGAACATTTTTATTCCTATAAATTTATAATTAGAATTATTGGTAAATCAATTCATCAAGAAAGTTGATTTCTAAAAGTTTTAAATAGAAAATAAGTAAATGACTATTTTAGACTGTAAATTAATTAATTGGATCATGATATTTACTAAATGTTTTTGAAATTTAAATTTTTTGTTGAGTTACAATGTGTGTTTTTAATTTATTATTTTATTTATAATAAAAATATTTAGAATTCAATTCATATAAATAATATAACAAACAGTAAACAAAACTTTTCAAACATTTCATAATATATAATAGCTTTAATTTTAAATTAATGGCATGTATCATAATACTCTATAAATTTTAAAAGTAATACCAAGTACATAAATTATTTTTTAGTACGCAATCTAAAGGGACAAATTTTGGGTAAAATAACATGTTTATGATTATAAATATATAATTTGTGAGTTGGTCACCCTATCTATGAGGTGCAAACACCTCCACATGATTTTACACATAGGGCTGTCGTATTGAAACGGTTATCATTGCCGCCGCACCCGCCGTATATGAATGGCTCGCATTTGTGGGAAGTTGTGTTTCAAAAGTATCGGGGAAAGTAGCCATAACATTGGCCCCCATCGGGTGCTGAGTAACAATCTAGGTAATTAAATAAATAAAAATAATATTAGTCTAAACAATATAAAATAATTTTACACAATATAAATATAATTATTACTAACATGTTGGTATATTAGGTCCACCAGGGTTAATGGGCCCTGACCCACCATAGTCACAATTTACTAATAATATTAGGCAAAATGATACTGGTAGAATTACATTAGTTTTAAACATTTTGAATAAAATAAATTTGTTAAATAAAATTATTTAGGTTTATGTTTTTATATTTATAAATTACAATACTAACATGCTAGATAAATATAATTTATTAAATGAATAAATGGGGTTGTTGTTTTTTACATTATATTAATTAATTAAAATAGCTAAACACTACATAATTTAATTTATCACATCTATTTATAGTAAACATACTGTAAATGTTTCGAGGTAACAATAGGTAACAATATTATAACAATATTATAACAATATTATAACAATATAATAAATAACTTGGTAATAAATGATTGTAACCCAGTAACCTATTACTGAATATTAATAATTTATTGCCTTTCAAATTTATCATATTAAAATATTGCTTTGTTTATAACATTAAAATGTAGGTTTATATAAAAAATATAATTGTTTATTAATTATTTAAAAGCTAAAATAATTTTGGTACGTAAGTAATTTTAAAATTAAATTAATTTTATTTTAATATTCACCATACAATTATAAACATATAGACACATTTTACTAAAATATTTAATAACTAACACAAACAAAAAGCTGTAAAATATAATTATTTAAATAATTATATATAGAACCAGAAATACATTTAACGAGTTGGATTTAAATTGTATTATAATTAAATTTATTATTTTATGTTAAAACTATTTAAAATGAAAAATAATTAAAATATTCTATGTCAAATTTTAAGTAGCACATTAAACAAAAAATAGTAGTAAAACTAATACAATAAAACATCATCAATTAAATATACAAATGTATTGATATATTGGATAAATATAATTTATTAATTCTATAAATAGGTTATGTGGGTAATGTATTTTATTAAAAAATATAATGAATTATCATAGATAACCTCGTATAAATTAAACTTTCAAAAATCTATTTATAGTATAAAGGTATTAAGGTATTAATTATTGATTAACTATATAAATCATAGATAACCTGTCTAAAAGCTTTTAAACCTAGTAACCTAGTAGTGTAATAAATTATACTCATAATTTATTACAATAAACATATACCGGTAATTTACTTATAAAATTATTAACTTTATATAGTTATAATATGTTTTATTGATAAGATTATAAAATGAGCAGTATACAATTTTTAATCTCAATTAAATGTGTTGCCTATGGGTCGCAAACACCGCCACAATATTGCACACAAATAGCTGTTGTCTCGAAACGGTTATCATTGCCACCGCACCCGCCGTATATGAATGGCTCGCATTTGTGGGACGTCTGGTTGCAAAAGTACCTGGGTATCATCGCTTTACATGGTCCCACATCAGGTGCTGAATAACAATCTAATTGAGCAAGGAATTTTGAAAATATTTATTATAATACTAGCAAATATTTTATTAGCAATTTATTCATGCTAGCTCATTACAATGCCGTATAAAAAATACACTATAAGTATAGTATAATTAATTTAATTTAATTATTTTAGTATATGTTTTATACATACCCCATGGTGGGTTGGTTGTAACATCACCCAGGTCACATTTTATGACTACAGTAATAGCTGCTAGTATTGAGAGTATTGTAAGAATTTTAAACATTTTTCAAATGTTTTTAGTAAGTTTGTTGTAGTAACTTGTAAAGTTATATTAACTTTTTTTAATTAAGCGTGTTGAATTTATATAAATTGAGTTTTATTTCACAAACATGATAAGCAATTTATTATTTGATAAATGTGATTTTCCTATGTGAACAAAAACAATATGCTACTTTTATACAATAACAATTAATTATAGTAAACAATTTCATATAGTAAATATTTGTCTAGGTTTATAGTTTTAATTCAATGTATAAAAGTTTATTGATCTAATGATTTATTTGAACTTGGTAATGCAACAATAAATTATTTATTTATTAATACATATAGCTAGGTCAAAATAATAGCAATTAAAATTATGTATAGTAAATAAAAATAAATAAAATTTGTAAATAGTTTTAAAGTTTTAAATAGAATTTATTGTACCTAAAAATATACTCCGGGTAAAAGTTTAAAAATTAGATAAATTTTATGGATAATCAATTTGTGACGTTATGTGAAATATATTAATTTTACTTGTTTAAATATTATATAATAAATGGGATGTTTGGTACATTTAATACAGTAATACATAAGTGCAGTACAAAATACAATTAAATATAGTTAGGTACTTTACAATTAATAAATAAATGTAAAAATAATTTATTTTTCACAGTTTTGTATAATTTATTTACTATACATTTTAATATTAAAATAAAAATAGCATTCAAGTATTTACTCATTTTATTAAAAACCATTTATTTATAAAATTATATTTAATAACATACCAGTAACAATTACAAGAATTTAAAATAGTCTATTATTAAAATAAAATATTTTTATTAAATTTTGATTATATGGTATCAGAAAGTTATAGTAAATAAAATTTAAACATCATAATAAAATAAAAAATATTAAATAATTTTTAAATTATATAAATTTCAGTAAATATTTTACTATTCAAATTAATAAATTATGTGTCCAGGACAAATTTTATGAGTCGCAAACACCGCCACAATATTGTAGGCATAGGTCGACCCCATCGAAGTGGTTATTGTTGGCCCCACAGCCCCCGTACACAAAGGGCTCGCAGGCACGGGATGTTGTGTTACAGAAATAGGCTTCAATATACGCCCGACAAAAACTAGCATCCGGGTCCATTTGGCAATCTATTTTTAAAAATTCAACTCATTTTTAAAGCCACAAAAATATAATTGTATACTTGATATTATTTTAGTAAATTGTCTAACTGTTTTTACAGTTTAAATGCTTTAAAACCTGTAATAATTAGGCTAGCTTAAAATTTATCATAATTATATTTTAAAAAAATTATTTTGTATATTTATTAAATTTTTATAGTAGTAGCAAAAATTATTTTTGTTTTATTTAATATGTTTTGTTAAGTTATCAACACAAACCCCATGAAGTAATAGCATCCGGATCAGATACTACATCTGAATTTTCAACTTCAGTGCCATCATTACTTGCTAAATCATTAATTATCTCATCCTGGCAACATATAATATTCACCGATACCAACGCAATAGCCACAAATATTAAATGCAACTTGAGCATAATTAAACTGTAATTAATTACTTTAAACAAATTATAATTTTTTAAAAATACTACTAACTAAATATATTGATCAGTAAACTTATTCACACTAAAATACATTTTCAATTCAATTGAATTTTTGAGTAACCTATTAATTACAATGATATTAATGTGTTGGACTAATTTATAACAATAGAAACAATACTTTTATAGTAATTGTTTAATAAATACAAAATAAAAATATGTACATCACACAATAAATTTATAAAATATTATATTAAATACAAAATTAATTTCAAAATAGTAATTTTAAAAATTTAATATTTATATCAAAAGTATAATAAACAGGTCATTAATAAATTTTTATAAAACAAATTTAAACTAAATAATAAAATTAAAAACAACTTAATTAAATAATTACCAGTAAATATAATCATATTAGATATAATATTATTAAACAGGTTCATATCCCCCTATTACCGGCACTGCCTTATTTGCCAGACCCGTCAGACAAAGTGAGTGAATGAGAGAGAGAGAGAGAGAGAGAGAGAGAGAGAGAGAGTTGGCTATTTATTAAATATTAATTAAATTAAATTTATACAAGCACATCAAATTAAATTTAAAATAACTATATCAATTAATAATTTACTAATTTTAATTGTAATCACATGATAATAGCTCTCTCTCTCTCTCTCTCTCACTCACTCACTCTCTTGTCTGGCGGGTTTGGGGGCAAATAAGGCAGTGTCCCTGTTATCACCCTCGTAGGTGTCCTGGCACACAGTCTCGCAAAAGGTATCCATAGCAAATATACTCCCGATTTTGGCCTCTTAACACGCCTGTATTAATTTACAGGCATAGGTACTGAGGTCGTCATACCAGCCCCCTATTTGGGGTCTATTTTTATCGCAAGCACTGGTATCTAGCGCAACCATACATATGACTGGTCTGGGTGCCGGTGCTATAAGATATAAAATGATTAATTACAAAAATAACACATAATTTAATAAATTAATTAAATGTATTAATAGTATAGGTAATGTTCAAAAATGTATTTCAAATTTTATATAAATTTGTATCTAATTTATAATTAATGCACTAATAGTTTACAGTTATGATAAATGATAATCACAATAATAAAATAAATTGGCATGTCTGCGGTATGTCAATATTACAGATTATAATTATGTTTGTAAATATTCAATTAATTTTACAATTAGTTTACAGTTTTTTATTGAAAATAATTAAACGATTTAATCAATTCGCAATGAGATAATAATAATAAAATATGGTTAATTTATAAAACTAAATTCTTAATTGTTATGGTAATTGTCTAAAAAAATACAAAATATTTATTAAACCATGACACTATAAATTTATATAATATTTTATTAAATGCAAATAAATTTCAAAAGTATTTTTAGCATTTATAAATTTTTAGCAAACAAATTTAAGCAAAAACCATAAAATAACAAACATTATAATTAAATGTTTATTATTAAATATAATCATGATAGAAATAAAATCTTTTAATAAGTTCAGGTTTCTTCCTATAAACTCCCTCGTAGGTGACCTGGCACACAGTCTCGCATAGGATATACGTAGCAAATATACCCCCGATTAGGGCCTCCCCACAGGCCTGTATAGACTGACGGGCATAGGTACCAGCCCTCTATTTAGGGCCTGTTTCTATCGCAAGCACTGGTATCTGGCGCCACCATTCATATGATTGATTGGTGTAGGTCCCGGTGCTATAAAACATAAGTGGGATTGACTTTTATCCCCCGATCATCCCCCGATCCAGATCCCCAGATTGAGGGAGAGAGAGCTGGTTATATATTTAATTATTATTAAATACTAATTTATTATTAATTTTTTACAAAGCATTTTATGTAGTTTAAAGGTAAATCAGCTAATAATTTACTAATTGTTATTGTAATCACATATTAATAGCTCTCTCTCCCAATTTCGTGGTCAAGATTGGGAGAGAGAGAGCTATTAATATGTGATTACAGTTATAATTAGTAAATTATTAACTGATTTAGCTTTAAAGTATATATACATTACTGAAGTATGATTCAGTAAATGTTTATTACCGGTATCAAATATAATCATGATAGAAATAAAATCATTTAATAAGGTCAAATTTCTCCCTATAAACACCCTCGTAGATGACCTGACACACAGTCTCGCATAGGTTATCCGTAGCAAATAACCCCCGATTAGGGCCTCCCCACAGGTCTGTATAGATTGACGGGCATAGGCACTGAGGTCGTCATACCAGCCCCCTATTTGGGGTCTATTACTGGTATCTGGCGCCTCCATTCATATGTCTGGTTTGGGTGCCGGTGCTATAAGACATAAAATAATTAATTACAAAAATAATACATAAGTTTTTAAATTAAATAAATATTACAATGATAAGAATCCCCCAAAATATATTACATGGTAAATTTGTATGTAATGAATTGTTAATCTACTATAAGTTTACAGGTTTGATAAATGATTTCTATAATATTAAAATAAATTACCCTGTCCGTCTATATCCCAATAGGAAAATTATTATTACCTTCCTAAATATTAATTTAATTTTACAATTAGTTTACAGTTTCGTATTGAAAATAATTTATGCAACTCAATGAAATAGCAATGAGATAAAAAAATAATAAAATATGATTATAATATTTGAAATAGACTTATAATTTTAATAGTTAATTTCTAATTAAAAACAAATTATTTATTAGACCATAACACAATAAATATATAAAATATGTAACTAACAAGTATAAGTACAAGTAAATTTCAAAAAGTATTTTTTTAACATTTATTAATTTTATCAAAAGTATAATAAACAAGTCCCATTAATAAATTTATAAAACAAATTTTTAAGTTATAAAAATCCAAACAATTTAATTAAATGTTTATCAGTAACTATAATCATGGTAGATTTAACTTCATTTAACCAGTTCAGGCTCATCCCTATAACCACCCTCGTAGGTGACCCGGCACACAGTCTCGCACTCGGTCTCATTAGGAAATATACTCCCGATTATGACCTCCAAACACGCCTGTATAGGCTCACAGGCGTAGGTACTCGGGTCGTAATACCAGCCCTCTATTGGGGGTTTAAGTTTATTGCAGCCACTGGTGTCTGGAGCCCCCATACATATGTCTGGTTTGAGTGCCGGTGCTATATAAATATAATTATTTACAAAATTAATGCATTAGGTTACAACTAAAAACTCCAAAAATATATTATAATATAAATTTTTATGTAATTAATGTAGTAATAGTTTGCAATTATGATAAATAATTTTTACAATATTATAAAAATTGTCCTTTAAATGAAAACCCTTTATTATAATTTTAGATATATTTTGAAAATTTTAAATTACTTTAGCAAGCAGTTTACAGTTTTTTATTTAAAATAATTTAAGCGAGTTGATTAATGTCAGGTATTAATAAAGTAAATAAGTTAGCTAGATATTTAGGTATAATAGTTTGTATATTTTTATATTAATTACTTACTTGATATAAACAGGTCAGTCAGGTCCGGAATATAGATACCAAGTCCATAATGTATCAGGGCGATATTAAAGAAAACTATTAATATAATTGATTTATTCATTTTGAAAATTAATTAATTAGTTATCAACAATAACTGTATAGTTTTACAAAACTTTGAATTAATATAAATTAATATCATCTCTATTTATTTAAAAATGATATGACATTGGGTATCATGCACTTTTGTTTTATATAAATATGTCATGGGTGCTTAAATATAATATATTTATATCTATTGTATTTTTGCATTATTTAAAAACTTAAATGCACTATTTATTTAAAAATGATATGACATTGGGTATTATGCACTTTTGTTTTATATAAATATGTCATGGGTGCTTAAATATAATATATTTATATCTATTGTATTTTTGCATTATTTAAAAACTTAAATGCAATCATGTTTTTATGACATGGGCATTAAAAAAATATTTTTTTAAAATATTTATTGGTTATAACTATTTTTCAATTTTTAAACAAAATTCTAGACTAAAACATGTAACTATGAAAGTGACCATGAGTGAATTATCAATGATATTGTTAAAACAAAAATCTATTGTTATAAATAATACCCAAATGATAACATCTGTAAATATAATACATTTTAGGTAAAACATTATTTGGCAAAAATAATTATTATTATTGTTTTTCCAGAACTGTAACAAAATTTTAAGTAGCTATTCACTTTAATAATGTAATTTAATTATAAAAAACTTGGACCCCCCACAACCGGCGGATTAAAATGATAATGTTTACATGATTTTTATTAACAAAATTAATTAAAATTAAATTATTTTAAAATACAATTTTTAAGAATAATTTTTATAAAAATAAATGAAATATAAAATATAAATAAATTCACAAACTTAATACAGTATATAACTACAGAGATGATACATAAACATACGTTTCCCATATGTGTTAAACATGTGTCTCACCACATATACAGTACTTACTATTACTATTACATTTAGTATCACACGTACTCCTAATTAATATTTTTTAACAAATAAAAAATACTATTTTTAAAAATGAAAATAAGACATAATAGCTGCGAGTAGGTGTACAAAAATGTCACTGATACAATATTTATTCATACATTTTTACATATTCTTTCTACATTCATACCTCATAATAGACACATTAGTATTAAGTTATGCGCAAATTATTAAGTCATACGCCTATGGAGTTTGGGTGCAAATATGGATACAGTTCCTCAGGTGGATAGGGCTCAGAGCCTAACGGTAAGCACCGGTATTTATAACCCATTTTTAAAATATATTAATAAATATATATTATTTTGTATAGTGACATTATTTGGATAATTAATTTGAATGCCATAAATAGCCTAGTCCATTGTACCACTAAATGTAAGCATAATAATTTATAATTGATCTCTGTCATTTATAATTAATAACATTGCGCAATAGATTGAACATACACTACCTGGTGGAAATGGATGTTAAAATATGGATATAATTAATCAGTAGCTTTTAAAACTAAATTTAAAAATAGCTATAAATTAAATATACAATTTTTATATATTAATGCTACTATAATAATTTTGTAAATATTGTTAAAAATTATATTGATTTAGTTATATAAAAAGTAGACAGTTGACAGTTGCACACAGACCAATAAATTATTTATTAATTATTTATAAGATAATTGCCTTGATGTAAATGAATTTACAGTTTTTAAATAATTAAATTTTATTTACTACAAAACATAATTGTTAAGAATATTAAGAATATTATTGTTATTAATTTAGTGTGTAATTGTTATTATTTTGTTATTCACTGTATGTCACTATACTGTCGAAGCTCTGAGTTGTGTATGACCTAATGCAGACCAAATCTGTACACAGTAGGGAATGTTCACAACAGGGAATGTCAACAACAAAAAAGAATGTTACCAACTTTACCAATATCTGGCAATCGGGGTTTGAATATTGGATATTATGTTTCAATTAATCAAGAATTCTAGTATATTATCTCATTCATATTATCTGAGACATTTATGCTTATTTTATCAATTTTATCTAGATTTTTCTTAAAAAATAATTGAACTTGTTAAATCGAATTAGTAGAAAATTTACATCAAGTTACTTCGATATAATTTCGATATAATAATCTTATATACAATACAATTTCTCATTAATAGTAATAGATAATTGATTAAGATACTAATTAGTAGCACATCATAATTTATAATATAATATTCATTCATCAAAAACAGATAGCCATCCAAGGATGTATTATATAATAATTGACTAATCTCTTTATTTTATGAAATAATTTTCATTTCAATATTAGATTCAGTTTATAATAATAGTATGTAATAATTTATATATTGTCGCTTATGTTCTTTAAAAAATTGAATATAATTTACAATTTTACTATTATTTTGTGACATTTTACACAACTCAGAAGGGAAAATAACACTAAATATTGCTAAATGTGTCCACAGCATAGAGATATACACAGCATAGAAGTTGACAATAGGGAATGTTTTTAACATTACAGGTATAGGGAAACCGCCAAAAAATCAGGATTAGTTCACACCATAGAGCGATACACAACAGAGAGATTGACAACTCAGAGCTTTGACAGTAATAGTTTTTACTGTATGTGAATTGTATCAAGTTACTTTATGTTTGATATATAAATGTTTGTAATATAGACAACGATTAGATAGACAATGTACAGGTAATGTACTTACAAGTGTTTACGTGTTATAACTATGGTATTAAAAGTTTAAAAGTAATTTTTATGATATTGCTTTAATTTTTTAAAACTGTAATTATATTTATGTTGTAGATAGTATCGTTACAATAAGTTTTTTACTAATAATTGTGGCATGCAGATGCACTATTTCTGACTTTTTGACACACTGGGCACACTGGGTTTTATATACATTATTCTACATAGTAAATATATTATTTTTAAATTTAAAGAATTTATTGACTTATATTTTTTATGTTGATCAAATCCGTGATGTTCATAGATAAATTTGTATTATTTTTAATTTTAAACATAATTAATTTTATTTATTTAATTTTAAAAAATTATATTTTGAGTTATAACTTGTTGAGTTTTAAAGTATTATAATATTTAAAAATTGCTGTGTTTCTATCCCAATTTGTTAATAAATGAATTCTTTGGAAAATGCTTATTATTAATTCTTGCCAAATTTACAGGTTGTTATTACCATAATAATTAGGTTGCAATTCATAATAATTATTATGAATTTAATAATAAAGCAAATTCTTAATTGTTTCAACATTTATTAAAATATTGTATTTATTATTAAAACTAGCTTAAACAGGTTGCTAACAAGAAAATAATTTATTTTGAAATTAGGGTTACCGGTGATTTAAAAATAATATAATTCTTATTGCGAGTAAACTTAATCAATATTATAAACTATTTGTTTTATGAATTATTTTATAAATTAGCATTACTTTACTTAAAGTGAGCCATTAACTTACAAAAACACATCGCATAAACATTTGATAATTGCTAACCGATTAACAGGTTTCTAATATACAGTATTTCATAGCTAATGGACCTTGAAGTTGATAAAGGTTATGTTTTGAAAATTATGTAAACAGTCGCCATTATCTATATTTATAAATAACACAATATGTTCAACCCAAATTAAATTAATATATTTTCAAAAGGTCACGTATTTAAAATTAGTCAATATGAAATGCAAAACTAATGGTAACCCTTGCATGGCCATGGTCGGTTTGTTATGGTTTGTAAGTTTTCGTTTATCAATTAATAAATTGATAAATTTTAATAGCACTTGTATTTAATTAAGGTGTCTTTTGTACTGGCTATGTATTCACTTATTAAAACGGAGAACTTGTTGAAGTATTTAAAAATTATTTACGAAACTGGTGGCAAACTTATTAGTGATTTGATGCCTCATTATTTCTATATAATTTTAATTTATGTAATCTCATTTTTACCTTGGGGCATTGCTGCATCAGCATCTGGCGGGAAAAATGTATGTTATATGATTAATACTTTTAATGAAATTTATGTTATATGCAAGTTTTGATTTGTTTTTAAGAATTATAATTACTCATAAGTATAATTAAATAAATTTTTTTAAATAAGAAATACTGTATATTTATTAATTTAGAAATTTTTACTTAGAAATTATTTAAATATAAAATATAATTTAATAAATTATCTATGCATTGACTTTAAAACCCCGTCCCCTGGTCTCTCGCCCGGTCAAAGAGAGAGAGAGAGAGAGAGAGAGAGCTGGTTATAAATATAATTATTATTAAATATTATTAATAATAATTAAAAAATGTTTCATAAAATATATCAAATTTCAATTGAGCCAATTATTAAATTATTAATATTAACATTAGTGTATAATTATCGAAAGAGAGAGAGAGAGAGAGAGAGAGAGAGAGAGCCATTCAGGACCACAAAATTGGAAGTGAGAGATAGATCTATAAATATGTGACTACAATTATAATTAGTAAATTATTATCTGATTTAACTTTAAACTAGTTTTTAAAATTTCTAAATAATTATATAATTAATTTGAATTAGTCCAATAAAATTAATATATTAAAAATATGTTTTAATTATCCCCATTTTGATAGGTAACCGTATTTGCGATTGGAATTATTGTTACACTCATGTTACAGTTTTACGGAATATATAATATTTTTATATATAAAATTGATGTATGTATACTTTTAGTTTTAATCCTACTTTACAATCAAATTAATTTTTATGAATACAAAATAATTTATTTAAATTAGATAGATGAGTATTTTATGAATACCCCAATGGTAGCAAGGTTATATGCGGATCTAATGGACTATGAATATGAAGAAGTACAAAATGTACAAACTACATTTAACTGTTGCATGTTAATTAATAATAATTCTGATTACACAATTCGTAAAACATCATCAACATCGTTTGAACAGTGGTCACAAATATTATCAACACGAAATTGTTCAAATACAGACACCAATAATAACCCTACCTGCTCATTTAGTATTATACACGATATTAATAAATACTTAATTATTATGGATATAGATAATTTGAACAGTGGTCACAAATATTATCAACACGAAATTGTTCAAATACAGACACCAATAATAACCCTACCTGCTCATTTAGTATTATACACGATATTAATATTATGAATTAATAATACCTATATCTATGTCGGTATAAAAAGTAAACACTTTATAATTACTATTCAAAGGGCAAAAATATGCTAGATATATCAAAATAATTTTCCATAAAAAACTTTTTTAATTTTGGTCAAAACTATTATCAAGCAGCATTTACGCAATTATCAAAAATTGGTTCTGGTGGTTTTGGCGTAGTTTATTCAGCCAAATGTAAAATGAACAGTGAACTATTTGCTATAAAGCAAATTCAGTTAACAGGTAACTTAATTCTTACAAATTAATTTAAAATTTTAAAATTACTAATTAATAAATTATTGTTTCTAAACATTAGACTTAAATGCATACGAAAAATCCAAAATATTCAGCGAGGTGAATAATTTAATCAAAGTGCGCTCAAAATATGTGGTTCACTATTACGACTCGTGGTCTTATCGAGAATACCTGTACATCCAAATGGAGTTGTGTTCGCAAAGTCTGACAAAAATAATTGAAATAAAAGCACAAGTATTTAAGCGACAAATAGGAGTTCCCATGAATTCTATTGAATACTTAATTTCGTGCCAAATATTCCAACAATTGTTAGAAAGTGTTCAGTATTTACACGAACTGAATCCACAGATCATTCACAGAGACCTCAAACCCGACAATATATTGATCGCAAGGGATGTAAGGAACGGTAGATTTGTTAAGTTATGCGACTTTGGTTTGGCTACAGTTCACGACAAACGTGTTAACTATAGGACTACCAGAAAACATACGGCAGATATCGGGGATCTAAGATATCAGGCACCGGAAATTAGTCAGGGTAAAAAGTATGGACACAAGTCAGATATTTATAGCTTGGCACTTATTGGCGCAGAGTTATTTGCCATGGACTTATTTACATTAAACTGTGATAGGTAAAACTCTTATCATGATAAATTAATAAATTTTGCTAATAAACAATTGTATCTATTTATTTAATAGACCTTGCGATTATTCAGAAACTACTCCAATATTAAATGATCGAGTACATAAATTACAAACAACTCTCATGGCTATGATTTCACACCCGTTATGGGATAATAGACCGGAATGTAGTGAAGTATTGGGAAAATATACAGGGTGGTCTATTAATAAAGATTTGATTTTATTTGACTCACAATACGAGTCAATAGTTAATAAACTTAATGCTCATAAAAATCAGTTATTCATAAGTTTCTTAAATTATATCATTAATGATACAAATAATATTGGAAATAGTGTTTTATATAGTGCTAATTGTGACTCGGTTATAATTGATGCTAGCCAACATGAAAATGCTACTTTAATAAATAATTTATAACTATGTATTATTTTGATTATTTAATATTTGTAACAAAAATAAAGTGACAATTTTGCATTATATTAGACCACATATTTTATAAACTTTAAAATAAATCTATTATATAAATTATTATTGTATAACATTTTAATTTATAAAATATCATTTTTAAAATAATTTTTTATTGTAATGTATTTAAGTATACCAAAAATAAAATTATGTATAAGTTAAATTAATAAAATATTTTTAGCTGTACTGTATTTGTTATGTAAAGCTAGGCCAAAATTAAATTTTATGTAACAAATAGAGTTTTCAAAATTTCATCAGGCTTATTGCATCAAATATAATTTATAATAAATATTCCGAGTAGGTAGAATTCAAAATAATTGTTGTACCACATATTAGATAAATCATTTATTTATATTTACTAAGAATATTTCTATCCAGTATGCTTTAAATAACATACAATTTATTTATTATTTATATTTTAACTTTTATGATTTAATTTTTGATTTATTAATTTTTAATAAAACCAAGTCAACTGCATTAATTAATTTAATAGTTGAATTATTTAAAATTATTTATAAAATGTTTGTTATAGGTTGAAACCCAAATAGTTTTTAATATTTTAAAAATAATTTTTGAAAAATAACTAGTTCTTCATGACAATATTTAAAGTTTAGTAATATAAACTAGCACAAATTCGTAATTACGGTCCAATTGACTTCTCACTCAATTCAAATACAGACTGTATTATAAAGTGTTAAACTTAAGTCAAATAGCGTTTTATTTAGATAGAACATTTATAGAAAAAAACTTTTTTTAAATTAATAAAAATAATATTTTATAATAATTTCATATAAAGGGAGCTCTCTCATTTATAGATAACTTGTAGGTACTGTAGGCAATAAACTATGACCCGCATAACAGTCCCTCAGCACAGACTACATTAGCACCGGAATTATCTGTCCTACAAAATTGACCCTCGTCTAAAATAGCACAGAAACATTAAAAATCATAGCAAATATTACCTTGATAAATAATATTGTACTTACACCTTGTTTTAACACAGGTAGCACAGCACTGGCAGTTTTTAGGGTCGTAGGGCCGGTACTGGGCACCCGTAATGGCATTGCATTGGGCCCTCGATAGGGTGGTGCCCACACAAAATGCCCTTGAACAAAAATCGGAACACTCACTCTGGGTACGCCCATTTGGGGGTCCTCCCAGCACCATAACTGCCCCCATAATTGCTGATAGAATTATTATTTTTGAAAACATTTTTACAATTATTATTATTTTTAATACTTAGAAATTTAAATTTTTAATAATAATAATTTAATACAATAGATATGATACTTTTAATTTGTATATAAAATCTTGCTGTATTTATAGTAAATAAAATGTTGGTTGCAATTGACCTTGACTATTGGTACTTTTTGACATTTATATTATAGTAAGCTTATTGTTTAATTAACCAGAAAATGATGTAATTTTATTTACAATAAAATAAATCACTGACAAGTTATTTTTATTTTAGGAAATCCTGTATTTATAAATCACTACTAGTTTAATAACAATTGATAAATTACTCTGTAATTAAATTTAATTATTTACTAAGCTAACTTGTAAAAGTAAATTTTAATAAACAACGTTAAAAATATTTTTTATTAATTATTAAATACAGGTGCTGCAGAATTAAAGTTAATTAATTTAAATTGAATAGTACTTATTTAATTATATTGTACACAGTTACGTAAAATTTACAAGTAATTTAATAGATTTTAAAAAATATTTTTAAAATTAATACTGTAGTTATGTTAAATATTTTTAAAAAATACTGTATATTCACAAAGTTATTAACAGACCAAATATAATCAAAAATAATTGCAATATTTTTTATATAAGCGAAAAAATTACTATTACAGTTTAAATGTTACAATAACTTAACATTAAATATTTTTGAATGAATTTTCAAAAATAATAGTCTATTTAAAATAAATCATAATATGATTTAAAAATATATTATAATTTAAAATTT